GGTCGCAGCTTCACCCGTGGCGTGGGCTGGGGGTCAGACGCCACCCCGGCCGGGCTGCGGATGGGCCGGGAGGGGCCCACGGCGGCACTGCCGGCGACCTCGCTCCGACCGCATGTTCCTGTGGGCAGGTCTGTTTCCTGCTCACGCTCCACAGAGAAGCTGGGCAATTTTCAGCGACGCGCCTGCATTAAAGGCTTTATTGAAAATCACTGGGCCTCCACCGAACACGACGAGACAGACTATTCGGGGCATCTTCAGGAAAGGACACCGGCCTGCCGTGATTAAAGCCGGCAGACGCTCGGCGGGCGTGGGCCACGCGACGGGGAGGCCAGCAGTCATCAGCCCAGGAGGAGGAGCCGCCACAGAATGAAAGGGGACAGAGGCGCAAATGACCTTCTGGGGAGAGAAGGAAAGAGACGGAAAGACCAGGGGCCGGGCTGAAAGACGCGAAAACCTTTTTAAAATGGGGGGGGGGGGGGCGCGGGCAGCAGCCCTGGCCCGTTTGGCTCAGCGGTTGGAGCGTCGGCCTGCGGTCCAGAGAGACCCGGGTTCGGTTCCCGCTAAGGGCACGTACCTCGGTTGCAGTTTGGCCCTGGTTGGTCGTGTGGGTGGCAGCCACTCGATGTGTCCCTTTCACGTCGATGTTTCTCTCTCTCTCTCTCTTCCTCTCTCTCCCTCCCGCCCTGTCTGAACAACAACAACAACAACAAAAATGGAAAAATGTCCTCGGTTGAGGATAAAAAAATAAATAAATGAATAAAAATAAAAAAAAAATTAAATGGGGAGGGCAAACATAAAATAATTATTTTGTGCAGGAGAAATGCAGGAAGATAACAGAATCCAAAAGTCAGGGTGTCCAATGTCCAGAAACAGAACATCCGTTTGGTGTGGCTGCTGTCGGAGCACAAGCTACAGAAACTTCTGCTAGAATCGGACCCGGCCTCCTGCGAGGGCCTTGGTGTCCCCTCCCAGGGTGCCGTCCACGGCCGGGCCACGGCCACCGGCTGCTTGAGTGGCCGGCTCGAGGTCTTCACGAGACCAAGCTGCCTGGAGTCTGTAGGTCCCCGTTTCCCCCGGGTCGCTGTAGACATTGAAACCAGTGAAGCCAACGCTGGGATGCGCGACGTTTCCACACCGAGGAGGTAACGGAGATTCCTTAATTACGAGGACAGCCTGCTTCCCTGAGTCTTACTTCTGCCCCATTCATTTCCATTTTTAATTTTTTTTTTATCCTCACCCGAGGACATTTTTCCATTTTTTGTTCAGGTAGAATGGGAGGGAGAGAGAGGAACAGAGAGAGAGAGAGAAACATCGACGTGAAAGGGACACATCGAGTGGCTGCCACCCGCACAACCGACCAGGGCCGGGGACAAACTGCAACCGAGGTACGCGCCCTTAGCGGGAACCGAACCCGGGTCTCTGAGGACCGCAGGCCGACACTCCAACCGCTGAGCCAAACCGGCCAGGGCTAATTTTTTTTTTTTTAATCCTCACCCAAGGATATTTTCCTACCAATCTTCAGATAGAGTGGGAGGCAAGGAGGCGAGAGAGAGAAACATCGACGTGGGAGAGACATTGACTGGTTGCCTCCTGCACAACCCCGACCAGGGTCAGGGATCAAACTGAAACCAAGGTACCTGCCCTTGACCAGGAATAGAACCCTCGTCTCTTTGGCCTGCAGGCCAACGCTCTAACCACTGAGCCAAACCGGCCAAGGCTAATTTCCATTGTTAAATTTCATGATCTCTGTCGAGCCGGTGTGGCTCAGTGGACTGAGTGTCATTCCATGGACCCAGAGGTCCCGGTTCGATTCCCAGTCAGAGCACATGCCCGGGTTGCCGTTGAGCCCCAGTAGGGGGCGTGCAGGAGGCAACTGATCGATGTTTCTCTCACATCGATGATGTTTCTCTCTCTCTAACAAAATCAATTAAAAATTTTTAAAAAAAATTTCATGATCCCCAGCAACTGTTGGTCTTCAAGCCAGCGGTGGTACTGTCCCCTTACCCGAACACATGGTTTAAAGCAGAATTGCAGTGTTTCCCCTAAAATTAAATCAAGCCCAAGTCCTGTGATTTAAACACGCTTGCGCAGCAGAAATGCTCAGAACGCAGGCCCGGGAGGAACCGTGTCAGCAGCGATGTCAGACTGTCCCCGGGGCAGGGAGGCCCTCCCTACGTGCCTGTCCCCACCGCTCACAGCGTGGACCCCTGCAGTTATCCTGAATGAAGGCTGTTGTTTCTAGCAGGTACGCAGGGGTCCAGGCAGGAAAAGCCGGCCCTGTTCTTGCAAGAACGTGTGTTAGTCTGACCTGCAGCCTCTGCAGGGAACGTGGAAATAGGTACAGTCCAAGTCCGGCTGGGAGAGCAGCCCACAGACGATGCCCACCCCTGAACCCTGCGGCAGGAGCGATGCCAAGGTCTGCCCAGGGGCGACACTGGGGATGGGGGACACGCACCCCAGACCTCTGAGGGTCTCAGAGCTCGGTCAGTAGGCAAGACCATCCCAAGAAGACACAGAAGCCAAAGAATTTGCAGCAATGCCTGAGTCATGGGGGCCTTTGCAAGTATTTGCTCACGCACTGGCCACAATGTGCTCAATTTGGTAAGAAATGAATAAAAATGACAATAAGGACAGTGGTCCGGGGGGTAGGGGAACACTCTGCGCCTTCCTCTCAAGATTGCTGGTAACCCAAAACTGCTCTAAAAAAAATCAAATTAAAAAAAAATGACCGAGTGCCCATCTGTGTGTAGCACAGTGTCCCTCAGAGGGACGCTGGTACAGCCTGCCCTGCTCTCCAGGAGCTCCAACCAAAGCAGGCCTGGTGGCCAGGGTGCCCCTGGCCCAGCGGCATTGTCATTACTGGGAGCTGCTTAGAAATGTGGAGTCTCAGGCCCCCCCCCCCCGAGACCCACTGAATCAGAACCTGCATTTTAACAAGATCTCCAGGGGACTCAGCGGCCATTCAAGTGTGTGGTACTGGAAGGAGGGGACCCAGGATCCAGAGAGAGAGTCCCAAGGCGGGGCAAAGACAGGACCCCTGCAGGATGGGGGACAGAGCGTGGAAATACTCCTGGGAGGTGGGACGGATGCCATGGAGACAGCAGGCAGTCCAGGGGGTCGGGACCAAAGAGCACGTTCAGAAAAAGGGAGCTATTGTGGGCAAAGAGAGGGGAGATGGCAGCATACAGCCCCCCTGCCAGGGGCCCTGCCGGCCAGGTGAGCACCTCGGATCTGCCTGCAGTGCGGGGTCCCCTGAGGTCTGTGCATCCCTGAGGCAATTTGAGCTGACCTGGCCTGTTCGTTAGAGCTCAGAGGGGTGGCCCAGGGAGCAGACAGGCCGGGATGGGTGTGGGGCCCCTGGGAAGCGCAGTGGGCGATGCACCCCACTCTGAGAGCACCAGGAAGAGATGCCGCCGGGGGAGCAGCAGGGCTTTTGCCCGGACGCCGTCAGAGGGGGTGTAGCCACAGGAGAACCCAGAACGGCCATCAGCAAAGTCCCACATTCCTCCAGCCACGATGAGCTGTCCCTCAGGCCGCCCGGCCTCCCTGGGGACCCCTGCCCCGCCCCGCCCCCTCCACAGCACCTGACCCCACGCCTAGCGCGCAGTAGGACAGCAGAATGGGCTCCAGTCTTTAGCAGTCTGCTGAGAACGAGGGTTTGAGTGATCGGCACTCATCATAAATGTGCCTCCTTTTTATGGGGAAATATGTTCTGTTCCCACGCAGGACGGAGCACAATCCACAGGACATCGCTGATCTTTATGCCCATGCGCTCTCTGACAATCTACACGCGAGTCTAGGTCTGATTTTGCTCCATGTCAAGGACGGCAGGGAATGAATCGAACACACCTTATCTCTTCAAGAGGGTTTAGTTCATGTCAGCAGCCACGCTAAGGGGCAGGCTCCATCCCTTCCCAATACAGGTACTATCTGGGGTAGAACTGTGTCCCCCCCAAAAAGATACGTGGACATCTTACCCACAGTCTCTGTGAATGTCACCTTACTTAGAAATAGTCAAGTTACGATGACGTCCTACTGGAGCGAGTGGGTCCTAAAGCCAATGACTGGTGTCCTCAGAAGAGGGGGTGTGGACCCAGAGACACACCCAGGGAGAAGGCCAAGTGACATGGAGGCGGGGACGGAGCCCTGTGTCTGCTCGCTGGGGGAGGACGGGCGGCCAGGACACCAGAGGCCGAGAGAGAGGCTGCGCAGCTCCTCCGCACGCTCTCGAGACCGCAGGCCCCGCGACACGGCCCGTCACACTCTCGAGGCAGCAGGCCCCGCGACACGGCCCGTCACACTCTCGAGACAGCAGGCCCCGCGACACGGCCCGTCAGGCGTCTGGCCTCCGGGACCGTGGGCGTGAATTCTGTCACCTCAAGCCGCCCAGTCTGTGGCACTGTAACTGTGGCCCCAGGACACTCACATAGGACCTTGCCGGGATTCTTGGGTCACACTCCTCAAAGTGCAAGACAAAGCAGGGAACCAGATGAATCCCGGTGAGGCCGCCGCAGGAGCTCCGAGGTCACCTTGGGGCAACTTTCAAACCCCCTGAGGCCGCCCTACCCCCTTCTCAGGCAGCCCTGCCCGCGGGTCTCATCTCACGAACCCCCCCCCCAGCCATCGCTGCCCAGCGACATGATGGCGGTTCCTCCGGAGAGTCAGCGGATACATCGTGCTGTTGGGCCAAGTACGAGGAGGCCCACGGGGCTCACTCTTCAGGGACGATAAAGCAGCGCGACATCAAGGGGATGCATTCGCTCTGCCCTAGAACCCCTGCAACCCGTTCTCCCCCGGGGGCAGCGAAGACACCTGTGTGTCCAGTCCGCACTTGGAGCAGAGCGTCTGCAGAGGGGCGGTGGCCGTCTGCTCGGGTTTCTATCGGAAGCACACGCGGAGCCACCACCACACCACCGGAGACAAGCTCGGGTCCTACAGCCTCGCGTGCTCACGGGCCGCAGGGCGGCGCACGGGAGGGGCAGGGCCGCCGCTGCCGTTACCTTGCCCTTGTCGAAGTAGTGGATGATCTCCTGGTACAGCTGCTCCTTCAGCTGTCCCTGCGTCGTCGCCTGGTACCCGTCCCGCTGGGTGAGGTGGGCCGCGCACACATCCTCCGACCACTGAGGGGGAAGCAGAGCGTGAGGAGTGCCCCCAGGGCAGGGCACGTCCGGTGCCGCCCTCTGCCCGCCCTCTGCAGACTGCGCAGGGGGCACGCACATGACTGTGATGCTGCGCTGCTGGGTCAGGGTGCCGGGGCTGGGAATGAGGGCAGCACCCCGAGAGGCCCCGAGAGGAGTGGAGGACAAGAGGGAGGCGGAGCTGGGTCTGGATTCCCAGAGAGGAAAAGCCCGGCAGGTCCTGGAGAGCAGACCTGTCTGCTTGCTGATGACGCCACACTTGGGGTGAGCTCTGAACCCGGGGACCTGCGGCTGGCTCACTGGGCATTTGGGGTCCAAGCCTCAGTCCTGTGCTGCTCAACATTGTAACCGAGAGCAAAGAGGGCGCATGGACCCCACTCCCAAGTCATGAAAAAGGGACCTGAGAGGCGACCCAGCTCCTTACAGACGAAGGGCGTCTGTACCTTCAGCCCCAGGTACACCGCCTGGCACAGAGGCGGGGCTCAGCCAGTGTTTGTGCAAGTGCGGGCGGACTTATGGATTAAAGGCACGAAGCACAGAGGTGTCAGCAAGCCGGGGGTACCTGAATGACTCCCCAGCTCTAGGAACGTCAAGGAAGCATGAGAAACCTCTGGCAGGTCTGCAGGTTTACACCATAAGCTTAGACTTGCTTATCCTGACCCCACTCAGAAGTTACACACTCATTCATTATGGAGTTTTCACAACAAAGCTACATTTCTGCTTTTCTTGGGGTTAAAAAAAAAACTTTAGAGGATTCTGAAATGTAACTTACCATAAATAAATAAGAATAAGAAAATTCAGATTTCAAATGACTTCTTTGGACCTTCACATCACTTAAAAAAATCTAAATAGGGAGGCAAAATTCCTCTATACCTTTCTCTTAAACAGTGAGATGTAAGGATGTAAGAACTCAATTGCTAGGCTAAAAGGCTAATGCTTTTATCCTCCTCGTTTGCTGACAAAATGTCCTTAAACAAAAACAAGATTACATTTGAGGATTTTTTAGTTAAGGACCAAGAATGTATTTGTCATTGTTATACCGAGAAGAATTTTCGTAACAATACAAATAATGTTCTTTCGTATGTTGATTAACCAGCATGGATTCACATTTACAGCAGGATCAAAACCTATTTAGGAAAAATTGCAAAACGTAATGATGTAGAAGATGTGGAGAGAGATTATGTAGCATTTGCTGCTTCTCTGAGAAATTCAGAGCCCGTTGCAATAGACAATGCAACTGGGCCCACGGACCTGGGTGGGAAACGCACCCTGATGTGGTACAAACCCAGTGATGAATCGAGTGATAGTGCGCACACACACACACACACACACACACACTGCACACCACATGCACCTATAAGGCTTCATGCAGTACGAGAGCATAATGGTGAGCAAGCAGTCTGCCAACCTTATTTTAATTTCCCTGATGTAAAAGACGTTTTTTTCATATTTGCAGACGCGCCTTGTCACTGAAATCTGGGTTTCTAACAGATGAAGACAGTCAGACTTTCTAAGGGGATGACTCGTGTCAGACGCGCCAACTCGAATCTCCAACTTCATAAATTGCTCTGCTTGGGAGCTTCCCGAAGTGTGAAGTCCCAGGGGGCTCCTGGGGACTCCGGGTAAGCCATCCGGGTCGAGCCCAGCCCCCAGCCGAGTTTTCCAGACAAAGGCGGATCTCCCACTCGGAAGTCTGCACAGCGGCCTGTGTACATGTATCTGCTGTCATCCAGTAGACACTGCCTAGGGCCCATTCTAACATAATGGCTTTTGGGTCTCCTTCCTCCGGCTTGTGGGGCGCTGGCCTGAGGTTGGAAACAGGTCCCCTGAAAGCCAGTGTGTACACTGAGTCACACACTGTGTTCTAGTTTTCCACTGTTCTTGTTTATCCAGTTTCCAATTTCCCTCTTTTTAAAAATAACACTACACTTCGTGAGCCCCTCTATGACTTGCTCACACCCTAAAATGAGAAAGGGGCGGTGCTGCACACAGTCCCCATCTGCCCCACCTGGACGCCGCAGAGGTGAGTGAGGGCATGTTCGTCCTACCCCGGCTGCTCCGGCAGATGTCCCTCCTTATGGATGTCCCTGTCCACCGCTACGCAGCCTCGCTGGCCTGAGACAGGAGGGTGGGGTCTCTAACTCTCCACCAGCTGACAGCCCAGCGATGGGTATTAACGCATTTCGGATGCTGAGCGACAACTTTCCGGGACACCTAATCAAATCCGCATGGTGCCGGACCGAACCTATCATCAAAGTATTTCCTAAATATGGGTTCATGTCACGGCGTTCACTCAACATCCACACAACTTGAACTTGCAGGTTAGCACATGGCACCGAGAAGCACCGTCCACGCAGCCTGAGCGTCCACGATGACTGGTCACGAAGCGCGGGGCGGCCGCGTTACCTTCAGGAGCTTTGCGTGGAGCAGCAGCGTGTAAGCGGCTTCCGTGTAGTTGTCGCACTCCTTGTGCAGGTCACACAGCTTGTACAGGTACCTGCGGCGGCGAGATACAGGTGCGTCAGAATGTGTCCCCAAATATCGTGCTGGGAAGAGCTAGATGCCACCTTCGGCAGTGAACCGCGCCTATGCGTCATTGTCATGGGGTCCTCGACGCATAAAGTTGGGAAACACTTGCTGTGGAAAGCACTAGAAACCCAGCACAAGCAACATACAGTCATTTAAAAAAAAAGAAATTTAAGTCCTCGCCCAGCTGGTGTGGCTCAGGGGTTGAGTGTTGACCCATGTACCAAGAGGTCGCTGGTTCAATTCCCGGCCAGGGTACACGCCCAGGCTGTGGGTCTGATCCCCAGTAGGGGGCATGCAGGAGGCGGCCAATCGATGTTCTCTCTCATCGATGTTTCTCTCTCTCTCTCCTTCTCCCTTCCTCTCTCTCTAAAATCAATAAAGAAAAAAAATTTTTTTTTATCCTCACCCGAGGACATTTTTTGCATTTATCTTCAGATAGAACAGGAGGGAGAAAAGGAGGAAGAGAGAGAGATAAACATCGATGTGAGAGAGACACACAGAGTGGTTACCGCACCAGGGCCAGGGACAAACCAACCGAGGTATGTGCCCTTAGCGGGAACCGAACCCGGGACTCTCCGGTCGGGGGGCCGATGGCTTTAACTTCTGAGCCAAACCGGCCAAGGCAGAAAAAAAATATTTTTTTTAAATGTAAGTCCTCTTTTTTTCAGGACAAAACTGAAGAAGGAACAAGGGGGTAGAACTGTACTCCAAGGGTCCTCATTCCTTCCCACCTCTCTCGGTTTCCTCCACACGTGTGAAGTGGGACGAGACACTGTTTCAGATGATGTCTTGCGTGGCTATTGAATTCACACGCGCACACAAAATCCCCAAAACACAAGTTCGTAAGGAGAAAGAACTCGGATGATCCCAGTGAATATGACCCAAAGAATGTCTCTGCCGTAAGGAAATAAAGGTCGTTTTTTAATGTAAAGCAACCAACATTTTTGGATAAAAGAAATTTGATTGTTTCCCCAAAAGTTTATTATATATACGGTACTTAGAAAATTTTTAATATTTTTATTGATTTTTTTTAGAGGTAGAAGAATGGAGAGAGATAGAAACATCCATGTGAGAGAGAAACATCAATCAGCGGCCTCCTGCACGCCCCCCACTGGAGATTCAGCCCACAACCTGGGCATGGGCCCTGACCAGGAATTTAACTGGCACCTCTCAGTCCAGTGGATGACACTCAATTCACTGAGCCACACCAGCTGGGCTATATACGCTACTTTCTTTTAAAGGAGAAAGTGAAAGAAAAAAAAAAAACCTTTAAAAATCCAAAGTTAGAAAATCATGGGTAGTGGAATAAACCCATCATTAAACACTAATGTCCTGAGGACTGTACCCTTTTCTGCCTCTAAGTGGCGATCTTGCTGAATGTTTGACACTGACCCTAAAAGTGACCACAGAGGGGATTGGTCACATCCTACCAGTTGAGAAAAAGGCAAGTGATGAACCAAAATTCAGCAGACAACACAGAACATGAGACTCCGGTGTCAGAATAAGCAGAGGCGGAACAATTTCCATACTGCCTATTTCCGATCAAGTGAAAACTGGATTTTTCGGTTGATTACTGTGAAACAGGACAATTGGTGGTGGTGCCTTTTTTCAAAAGGATCGTATGAGTCGATCAAGAGGTATAAAAACTCTATGAAGTCATCGTTTCTGTCTTGGCTTCTGAGCAGGCTAAGTATGACCCCCCAGTCTCCATACGGGCTTGGACAACTGCACGCAGGCTTGAATACAGCTGGGTGCTCCGCCAAACAATCTCCAGGCTTTGCGATGTCCCACACCCTAACCCCCAGTGGTTCAAAACATTTCTTCGCCTGGGCTTGACAAACAGCAATGATAACAGAGACGAAGAGAGAGCAGACCCACAGGATGCAGACATACCTTATATACATTTCTTCTCTTTCAATTTCTTTGTAGAAATTCTGAAAAATCAAACCACAACACTTTGAAGAAACCTGTCCTATGAAAGGTTGACATGCACATTACACATTCTCAGTTCTTCAGCTTGTGCCCCACCCAGCCCATGGACCCAGCTCTTTGGATGAAAACCATACAGTCAACGAGGCAAAAACAACGTACACACTCCTTCACTTTCATTTTGGTGGGGGGCTGGGGGGCGCAATTCTAATTACTTTTCCTACACTTCAAGTTCGGTGATGGCGAAAATCTACTCTGTCAATGGAAATAGGGTCCCACCCAAAGGCTTGACATCAGAACCCTTCGTCACCATTGTAATCTTGTTAGAAGTGGAAAAAGTTTAAAAATCCCCAATTTGGGAGCAGGCGTGATCACATAAGTCAAAGCACACGAGACTCAGCCTCCCCAAGAGCCAGAAGAAGGCAGCGTGGCATTCTAGTAGCCAGTGGCCGCGTGGATTCAACTAGGGAATAAATTCAATAGAATGAAATGAAGGGCAGCTGCCCTTGTACACGGAGTCGTGGGCTCCTGTGACTGGGGAGAACAATGTGGACACCGGACTGCTGGACAGCTGTCCCTATTGGACAGCACTGTTCTCGACACACAGACAGACCTTCCAAACACAGCAAGAACACTGGCCGCCACCTGAAACACACTGATGGAGAGGGGCTAGTTCACAGAATATAAAAAACAGGTCATTTCTACCCATTGTAAAATAGTTTCTGGGTGAGCATACACATTTTTATCAAAATTATATACATATATATTTTAACATATGTGTTTATTGATTTTTTAGAGGGAGGAAGGGAGAGAAACATCAGTGTGAGAGAGATACAGAGATAGGCTGCCTCCTGCACGCCCCCTACTGGGGATCGAGCTGGCAAACCCGGGCATGTGCCCTGACCGGGAATCAAATCGCACCTCTCAGTCCACGAGACGACGTTCATTTCACTGAGCCACACCGGCCGGGCTCAGAATCATCTCTCTTAATGTGGACATCCCTGTGGGCACTTTAAAACGTTTGTCTTAGCTGAGGCAACAGAAAGTGCAGAATGGTCACCTAACAGGCCTAAGGTATGGAAACACAGTAGCCACTTTCCGTGGGGAACCGAGCACCTGGCCTGCTGTTAGAACCCCAGAGTCAGGCCCGAGATAGCTAGGGTATCACCATCACAGAGGCGTGTTTTGCCCAGTAAGGTAAAATATCCTGTCCATCCCACCAGCCCAAACCGGCACATCGCCCCATCGAGCTCTCAGAAGAGAAACGATAAATAAGCACAGGAAGTTTGGGGGCACGTTCGGCCAAGTGCACCAAGAGGGCCACGTTTTGCTGCACTGAGCTTGGAGTACCCTCGGTTCACAGGCTGAGGCCGGTCATGAGGGGTTTCGGCTGACACGGGGGCACCGTGACAGCGGCCTTGGAGGCGGACGGGCCCTTTATTCCCCCTACGTGCCGGCATCACAGGCTGCAGCTCCGCACCACGACTATCCTGGTTTCCATCCGTTTCTAAGCTCTCGATCCACCTTTGCACCTTCACAGTGAGGGACGACCTCCAGGGCTCCCCGAGATACGGAGACGTCTTCCCTTTGCTGCCGGTGCTGGGATCTGCTCCCTTCCTAGGTCCTGAAAACCTCTCACCTCAAACCCTGTGGTGTCCGGGTACAAGGTGCTGCCCAGGGCTCCGCTCCCCCACAGGCCCCTCGGGCCCCCTCTGCACCAGTACTAAGGTCCGAGGTCAGCAGCTGAGCTGTCAGCGCTTCCCGAGAGCTCCTGCCCCGCCCCGTCCCGAGGCAGCGTGCCCGCGGCAGGGCCAGGGTGTCCACGGGGTCCACGGGCCTGGCCACGGCGCGGCGACGGCGGCTGTGCAAGGAGCCCAGCAGAGGGCAGGGCCACGTCCGCCCGAGCCGTTCGTGTGGTCCGGCGTTAGTTTCCTGTGGCCGCCGTAATGATTTACCACACACTCAGTGGCTTAAAAAAATAGGTGTGTGTTTTGTCACAATTCCAGAGACCAGGTCTGCAACCAAGGCGCCAGGGGGACTGTGCTCCCTCAAGGACTCTAGGAGGACACCCTGCCTGGCCCTCCAGTATACTGGTCTCAGGGGTCCCTTCGCTGTGGCAACCGCACCCCTCTCTCTGCCTCGTCCTCACGTGGACTGTTCTGTATCTTTCTCCTCTTCTGTCACTTACAAGGATCCTTGTCGTTAGATTTAGGGACCTCCTGGGTAATCCAGGATCTCACCTCAAGATCCTTAACTGAATCACATCTGAAAAGAATCTTTTTTCCAAAGGTCACACTCACAGGTGCGAGGATTAGGCTGCAGCCACCGTTCAACCCATCTCGGGATAAGGGAACACTAGACGGGGGACCCACGAGGGTGCCCCCTGCTGGCAACATAAGACGGCTCAGCAATCTCAGCCCCAGGAAACCTCCGGGGGAGGTGGGGTCTGCAGACCGCGTGAGAGAACGTCCGCACACAGTTCATTATTCCCCCAGCAGACGGGAACCGAGCAAGGCGAGGTGGCCAGGCCGGGAAGCTCTGCGGCCGGACCTCACTCACCAGCACGTTGACGGTGCAGCTCATGCGGTTCTCCTTGTTCTCGTCGTGCATGATGGTCCTGTAGTCCAGCAGCCTCTCCATCAGGCGCACCACCAGCCTCACGAACGTCTCCCCGCTTTTGGCGAGGTACTTGTGTTTCCGGCAGTGCTCCAGGAGGCTGTCGGGCAAGCACACACCTTGTTACCCCCTCTGGACTCGACGGAGGCACCGCTCAGAACACTTCCCGGCGTTAACACCTTTCGGTTATTGCCGGGCTACAAAGTCCACTGTCGTCTAATTAGTCTCTGTCTCTCCCCTGACATGAGTCCCGCCGTTAATCACACTTACATTTTATCAAATAACACTTTGTATTGTTCGTCTCCTCTGCCTCCTTCCACTTCGTGATCCAGCTTGGTGATGATCTCATTTTCGAACTATAATTAAACAGAGGAAGTGTCAGTAATCAGAGCGGCGGGTATTTGACTTCACGACGGAGTGTCAGCAGCACCTACCTCAGCGAGGGGTCATCCTCGGACACCCCCTCCGCCCTGAAGCCTGACTTCATCTAAGAGTGGCTGTCCCCGAGCCCCCAGAGATTGCTGACGGTCCCCTGCCACGGGGACTCTTCCATTTCCTTTCCTGGTTAATAAAGTCTAAACGTTCAGATTCTGATGGCGGGAGCGCAAGCCGGGGAAAGACAGACAAGGAGACTGGCGGGGAAAGAAATTAGGGCACGACGTGAGAATGTGTCTCCAACGTCATCTCTGCGAACAAGTAACATCTAAGAGTCCGTGGTCCTGGGGGAGGACAGCCCATCTGAAAACATCCAGGGCTGCTTCCCTGCACCCTTCCGGACTCCAGGGCCACGTCTCCCTCTGCTTGAAACAATGTTGCAAGACACAAGAGACACATTGTCTCCAAAGACCCACCCGCAGACACTTCCCAAAGCTTCCGACTGGACTTGCAGAACATCGAGGTGGGAGAGAACCCTCGGAACTGCCCGCCGGTCTCTCCGACCCACGTTTTCGGAAAAACTCTCAATTCTGGTGAGGTGCCAGTCTGCAGATGTGCTCCAAGGAGCCACAAACCCCGTGGCGGTTCAAAGGGGAAATAACTATCCTGATGACGACATGTATGTGTCCCCGTCCTCGCTGCCTGGAATTCAGAGCCACCTCAGTACTGGGATTGTAGCCAGGTGACCGCTACCTTGCAGGGGACCCTGAAGCCAGCCATCGACCTGGAAGGAGGGGCTGGGAGAGACTGAGTTCCCACAGAGACGGAGACGACAGGCAGGAGGAACTGAACGAAACAACAGTGGAGTTCAGGGTCTGGGAAGCAAGCACACCACGGCTGCCTGTCTGCAAGGGTCGCTGGGATCCCTTGAACACACCTGCCCAGACACCGCATCCCCAGGCACCCATCCCCAGACCCCCTATTATCAGGATCCTACAGAGCTTAAGCTGCAGGAGAGGAAGACTTGCCTTCTCTCTTGGTCACTGCTGTGCCCCCTAGAACAGCGCCCGGTGCTGATGCTGCTGATGGGATCACACATGACGGGCACGTAAATTACTGGATGCGGTGGGTGGACTGGAGCCAGGGGATTAACGTGTCAGCAGAGGAGTGGGCCAGGAGGTTGCTAAGACACGCTGCTCTCTTGGCCACACAAGCCAAGCGGTGAGCACACTCATCCGAGTGCTTGTCAGAGGTACTGCAGGCATCGTCCGCTGCCCTGGGACACAGGGTGCGCTGCTGTGGGGGGCTGATGGGGACTTCCTGGGACGCAGGAGGCAAGGGGTCTGGTGAGACCCAGGGAGGAGCCTGAAAGCAGGCCCAGACCTGCCTGACCTTGACCAGGCCACACGACCGAGTCCCGGTCTGATCATGCTGACTGGCTTGGAGGGAAGTATTGATTCTTGCCTGACATCAAGGACGCGGCAACCTCACAAGAACCCGGACCTCGGCGAGTCCCCGCAAGTCTCTTCTTGATCTTCCCCGGCGCCTCCTCCCCCGACAAACACCCTCTTTTTGATTCCCTTTAGCCTCAGAAGTGCAGGGATTTTTTTTTCCTTTTTCTTTTTTTGGAAAATAGAAAAAGAGACGGTTTTATTGAAGAAGAGAGGATGACCTCCTTTTTTCCTCTCGTTCTTTCTCAGCTGAAGTCTCATGATGATGACGACTTTTATCGTAAAACAGCCACCGTTGACACGAACCCACAATTACTCTGCTCTTTGCGGGAAAGGTTCTGCAAGAGGCGGCTCTTTTTGGAACCGGGTGCGAGGGAGATGGCTGGTCGAGCCCGGACCGGCGCCTCCAACAACCTCCTCTCCCAAACTATGCCACCAAGGGCGCACCGAAGGGCCCATGTCGGGTGAGTCTCGATTTAAGACTCAATTTAATTAAAACGCACGATTCACTCCCACCCTTGCTGAGAGAACACCCCACGAGGAAGGCCTGGAGAGGGCGGAAGAGGATGCCTTCCCCGAACGCAGGCGAAGCGCACAGGTGCTGCAGGCCGAGCCTCTTACCCGGAGGATCCTCGAGCGCCGCGGCTGCCTCCTGGAAACGGCCCGTGTTCCCCCGCCCGCCCGCTCAGGCTCACAAATAAGGGCAGTAAGGAGCTGCAGCTCATTAGGCTGGCTGCTTATCAAAGTGTGACTGATGAATTTAATGTCTTCTAAAGAGCGCGAGTGCATGAGCAGTAAATCAGGGGAACACAGCTGAGTCTAATTTTACTAACCTCCAGTCTAAACTAGGTAATTTGCACAAACACCTGGCAGCCCTGTGCCGTTGATCAGCAAGGATCCGACACAGATCTGCAGCTCAGGTCCAAGTCCCGGGTCTTCGTGGAGTTTGACGGACGCCCTGGGAGCCAGTTGCTGGACACAGGTGCCGCGGACGGTCATCATCATCAGAGAGAAGCCGTCCTGCCCCAGCGAATCGGAGAAGGTTTGTTGACAGAGCGGAGCTGGTTGTGGAACAGTCACAGTTATGACCCCTGTGGATGCCTGCTGTCTGGTAATTTGCAACAGGATGACATTTAGCAACGGTTTACTTTGTTGCTCAAAAGGTGGCAGCAGCTCACTCAGGTGATATGTGGAAACCGTCTGTGGTTTTTCCCCTCTTTTCTGAATGACCAGTGTCACTACAAAAATATCCACGGGGTGTCCAACTGGAAATACGGAACAGAGCGCCCCTGTGCCTCGGAGAACGTGAGACGGAAGCCACATTCGAACACAGGCCTCTTTGGAAGGTCGCTGTTACACGGTACGTGGAGCTTCCGGGGCTGGGCTCGCAGGGGTGTTGACATCTTTAACTTCAAAGAACGTAGAGAGCAAGCATCGCTCTGCCACTCAGGGCCACGGTGAACCTGGGGCACTGGCTCCGTGTAAGAGATCACGGGGCGAAGGGTCTGCACGGTGGAGACTCCAAAAGCCAATTCTACTGGGTTTAGAAGGTACGTCCTCGTTTGGGGTGAGGTGTGTCATTCTGACTGTGAAGGTATGGGGTGCATCCGTGCATGACTACGTGTGTGGAAGCAGGCCTGCACCTTGCAGACGTCCGTCTGGAACGGGTGGGAGTGAGGTGGGCAACGGGACCAGGCAGGAAAGGTTTGCACGACGGTTCACCCCGCCACTGTGGCGCGGAGAGGTCGCCCAGAGCCGGTGAGAGCTGGAACCTCGGAACGTGTGGCGCTGACAGCGTGACGACAGATGAACCTGAGCCAACGGTGGCATTCTGTCCTGCATGCTCTACCTACTCCGGGGTCCAAAACACGGACATGGGCCACGGTTCCGGGCCACCCGCTGGTAGCAGAGACTGTCAAGGAATCAGAGTCCCCGCTTCTACACTTGCAGTCGGAACCGAACCCGTCCCACGAAAGGGCAGGACCACACCCCTTCGCTTTGGAAGAGACAGGAGGGGAGGGCGGAAGAAAGTCACTGAACCGTCCCTGCGTGGAAAACGTGGCCCAGAGAGAACTGGCCTGGCTCTCCAGCAGCCTCTGGGGAAGGCTCACAGGCCACCATCCGCACGGCGTCTGACTCCCGCCATCTATCACTCTGCTCAGGCGCCGGTTTTTATGTATACTGCGTTGCTTGCTTCACCGCCCCGTGAACTTAATTACACACTTAACTAATCTTCGGCGCTCCGCACCCCTGCATCCTAAAATCCCACACCCTTCTGTGTCCAGCAGCAAGCGGCTGGCTGACCTTGATGCTCCTGTGAAACACCCAGAAGCCTCGAGGCTCCAAGGCCCCAGCCCCGAGCCGCCTGGCTCTCACCTGGCGACGCCTGGGAAGGCGGCTGACCCAGACTGCGGGGGACTCGGGGTGCAGGCCCTGACCATGTCCTCCAGGAACGTGCCCTCGGAGGGAGTCCCGTTTCCCTTGGTTAAGGGAGACGGTGGGAGTCTGGGCATTTCTTTGCTGGAGGGCTTTTAAGAACTGAAGTCAACGTAATTAGATCTCTTGGAATCAAGGGTATTCGTTTCCACGATCTCCAACCTCTTTGGGTCTGTGACTCCCTGAAATAAAAGCCTAATTCTGTCCATATTTCCCCTTTAAGCATCCGAAACAATGGACTCAAGTATGGCTCTGAAATGGAAATCAAAATAAACCAACCAACAAAATCCCAAATGAGCTGAAGAATAAACAAGATGAAATTGCCACCAGACGTGCTCACATCCACAGTGCAGAGCAAAGCACACTGCTTTCCCACAAGTAGCAAAAGCTGCCAACCTCCGCTGGGGCACTCAGTTCTGTGCTTGAGGCCACTGGCTCAGGAGGCGGCAGAGGTCAGGGCACGGGAGGCGGAGATGCCCAGGCACCAAGGTCATTCCTGCTCCAAGCCTCGTGCAGCTCACCGGGCATTTCCGGAGGCTGGGGGCCCTTACCAACCCTCGCGAAGAAGGCGGGAAACAGCTCCGTGACTGAAAATCCTGTTTTGCTATGGGGACTCTTCCATCCCCTTTGTATTAATGGTCTAGAGACCCCACGGTCATGTCCTGCAAGTCTCCGCGGTGAGTTCTCTGTTTTCCAAAGACATAACAAATGGGATTCTTTAGGGTCAGAACCCAAGGAGGCTGAGACTGGAAGGTGTTACTCACGGGGGGCAGGGGGCCCAGTGGGGTGGGGGAGAGGGCCCACGGACAGGGCTCAGCAGGTCTACACCCATGAGCTACTCTGGTGTGGGCCCAGGGGACAGTGAACACAACTTCTGAGGTGAGTTGAGGAGTGGGCCAGTTGCAAAGAAAGAAAGGGAGAAGCAGGAGCAGAGGAGGACCATCTAGATCGGGGGCCGGGGGACATCCGGCCCGGGGACCTTGTAAGGTCCGCGAGCTCCACACCAGCGGACATCCCACGCCTCACCAATACAGCGGGCTGATGTTGAAGCTGACCATTCTGTATGGCCCACGAGTGATGCTATAAAGATCCAGAAGGCCCTTGGCAGAGAAAAGACTCCCCAGCCCGACCTAGAACAGGCAGGCACCCAGATCAGGGCCACGCCGTAGGGCAGAAAGAACCAGGATGGCGAAGGGCAGCTGGAGTGTTGGAGGCTCTCAAGGAAAATGGAAGAGGCAGAGAAGACGAGATGAGGCTTTTGTTGTGTGGAGACACAGAACAGAGCGGCCACGTGGACAGGACAGAGAAATCACAGTGGCCACAAGAACAGGACCGTGGTCAGTGAGGGCAGGGAGGGGTCAGCCATGGGGGGCACAGTCAGAGTGGACATCAAGCTGAGGTTCTCGGATGCACTCTTGCCTCCCTGCCCACTGGGTACCCACAATGTGAGCGCTACGGCACGACACCGACAGGGACACAGGGTGAATTGGTCCAGTGAGGATCTGGGCACGGGAGAGAGCTGTTCAGATCACAAAGAAATCAAGCAACATCCACTTTTCTTGTCAAGTGTCCCTTCTGGACCACAGATGGGCTCCAGCCATGAAACCAGCCAAAGTGGAGCATGGCATTTTGTAGCTGCAAAGGACTCGAGGACACTTTGTGCACACGTGAGCCTTCTGGTCCATGTGCTTCCGTCCGGCCCGAGCTCCGGCACGTTGGATCACATCAACTCTGCCTCTCAGCCTCAGGTTCCGGTACCACATGTCCTCTTGCAGGTGGCTCTGTTAGCCCCTGAGACTCTTAGTCAGCTGGTCTCTGCAGAGCTCACTCGCCACCTGGGAGGCCCTGCCCAGAACAAATGGCATTAAGCCGACCCAGGGCACCGCCTGCAGCCCGGAAGTGTCCCAGGCCACCAGGACAGACACGTGCGTGGATGACTCCATGCCCCCACCGGGAAGTCCACTCAGTGCCCAGAGACTGCAGAGGCAGGGCCAGGCGGGGACGAGGACATCAGTTCTGAAAGAAGATTCATGCTCTTTCTCCAGGGGCGCCCAGAGGCACGCTCGGGGAAGGCAGCGGGAGAGCATCCTACGGAGAGGCCTCCACGCGGCCGAGAAAGCAGCAGCAGCACCTCTGGGGAGCTCCAGACGAGCCGTCCTGAGATCCAGGCTTTTGAAATTCCAATAATGGTTTGACGCAGTTTAATCTTGAGCGAAATGGCAGGGTTTCCGCCTGAATCTACAGGCCCCTCCCTTCTCCAGCTGGAAGAGAGAAGACGTGTTTCCCCAACGGAGCATGTGAACAGCCCGTCTCCAAAAGACACAGCAACCTTTTAACACATACACTGCATCCTATGCGCAAAGCACTAACGTTCTGTAAAAACGAAAATCTTGAATGTCGCCCCTCATGCCATTGGGTTTGCGCCTCTCTATATGAGGGGCCAGTTTAAGCCCCTGTTGGTGTGACTAGAAAGGTTAGATGGTTGGACTGGTGGTGGATGAGTTAAACACCAGCCAGCCAGCCCCCCGAGGCTCCCTGGACGGAGGCAGGGACGTGCCCCCTCACTGCATGTTCACCGACACCCACTAAAGGAACAGAGGGCAGGCCTCGTACTTCCGGACGAGCAGCCAACAAAGACAGTTACGCTGAAGACAAAGCAGCTAGGAAAGTATTAGCAAGTCCAGAGGCAAGGCCGTGGTCCAGGAGAGGCCTGACCTGGGCACAGGGAGAAGCAGGTGCAGGCTGGAGACGACCTTAGGGAAACATGCTTCAATGTCATAGCCCGTTTTCATAAGGTCGTTCCCTGGAGCTCGGTTCCTGTAACATTCAAAAGGTCAGGTGCACGTTCAGCTGCAAACAAAGCATTTTACACGGCAGGTCCCAGCTCTGCTGAGCCAGCAGGGGGTCTGGACCCGGTTCAGTGCCAGCGGCCGTGGAGATGGGTCCCATCCTACGGCAGTGATATAAAAAAGCGGGCTATCGTGTCAAAGGTCACAAATACACTGTGAATTAGCAACCCCGTTTTTGAGAACGCATTCTGGAAAAACTTTAAAAAAGCCACGCTGAATGCACGCGTGTGTTAACGGCACATCTATTCGGGGCAGTGAAAACCCGCACACCACCCACGTGCCCACTCCAGGGGATGAACAAGAGAAGAGGAGCCCGGGCATTTTACGGAACGTTATGCCAGCATGAAAATCATTGTTCGTTACTGCATCATAATCAAGGAAACTACCTTTGATATATCGTCAAACACAAAGCACAAGAAAATGGGGACAATGTTTACAACGTGACAATTACACACGTACAAAGACAGGCAGTGGATCAGGAGGACACACACAGCTGTCCTTTTACAACAGACTCTTATTCTGACAAATAAACAAATGTCAGGAAACCTTCCTCAGCCACGGGAAGAAAAAAATGGAAACAGGAAGGAAAAAGGGTGGATGGAAAAAGAGGGGGAAGGTGCACTTAATGGGTTTGATTCTATTTGCTTCTCACCACATCCCTTCCGAGTACCCTCTATCTTTATACCCACAATACAGCTCTGAACTGGAGACTTAAAGAGGTCCAGTGACTTGCTCAAGACCCAGGCAGCACCAGGCTGGGCTAGGAATCACGGTCCACCTGACATCTGTGTCTAACTCAACCCCAGCTCACAGAGCGGAGGCTCTTCTACTGTTGCACCTGTTTCTCGTCCCAGGAAATGGCAAGCGTGTGTGTCACGGCTGCTCACTACCTCGGGCCATCAGGAAGAAGCACGGCCAGTGAGCGCCCAGAACTACACAGAGCTCCCGTCAACTAGAAAGCACACGTGGGGAAGGACGCCCTTCTGTCAATATTAGCTCCCACGAAAGTCATGTACCTTAATTGATAGTTGTATTTTCCTTTCAATATAGGATTTTTTTTTCTCTCTCAAAATTCCTCAAAAAATCTATGCAAGATAAACACCCACGTAGCTGAAGTCCCGTAACGTTTAAACAAAGGTTGCTTTCAACGCAGAGGGCGCCCTATCGTTGGGATTCGTCTTGGTTTCTGCAAAGCATCACGGTCCAACCGTCCGTCCACACGAGGGAATGCCATTGTGCACTCTGAGTGTGTCCGCCCGTGAACATGTGAACACGGACTGACTTCCGTGGGACCCAGGGAAGGAGGTGTTGCTACTTCCCAGGCACGGACTCCTCCGGTGTGTCGTCCCTGTCGATGCCGCACGTTGAGAGCACTTCGAGGACTTCTCCGGCCCCACTGCACGGGTCAAGGACTGAGCCGTGCACTTCGGAGAACAAACGCCAAGCCTCAGACTCAACACGCGCTGGCCATCGGCGGTCGGAGAGGGCACCGCGCATCTGAGTCAACGCCCAGGGCAGCGGTTCTCCACCTGGGGGTCGTGGCCCCCTTGGAGGTCAAATGACCCTTTCACAGGGGTCGCCTAAGACATCACAGTAGCAAAGTTACAGTGATGAAGTAGCAACGAGAATAATTTTATGGCTGGGGGTCACCACAACACGAGGAACTGGATTAAAGGGTCGCGACATCAGACATCAGGAAGGTTGAACCACTGCTCTAGGGGGTGCGTCTGCCAAGGAGGGCGAGGAGGAGACTTAATCGGGTTTCCCGTGCCCGTAAATCCAGACAGACGCGCATACGTTAAAGCTAAAGGCAGAGACTGGTTGTCCCTCCAGATGAGAGCAAAGGAAAGTAAACGTCTTCCGCGGGGAAAGTCCTAGGGTCTTTCTCTCCTAAGATGTAGGGAAAGACATTTTCCACGGCGAACACCCTTAACTCCAGAACCACCTATCAGTCTTTTTCGAGGTTTTCAGGCTTGTCCCCCCCTTCCCCAAACACACACACACACACCCCTCCTTACCATCTGGAAGCTTCGGGTGGAGTGGAACTCGCACTGCATCATGTCGAAGAAGATGGGGATCGTGGCTTTGCGGAGTTCTGTCTCGGGAATGAGCGTCATTTCCAACATAGGGCCGACCATTTCTGGAATAAACTTGATCTTGTGCTGACCTTGAGTAAAGAAAGACACTGTTCAGAACCTTTGTATTTAAAGGGTTCTAGAATGGGCTTCAAGGCACGAAATGATATAGGTCATGGATGTCGTGGGGATGATGTCGCGTCCACCTCTCATCTGCGGGCATCTCGGGTCTTTAGCCCAAGGAGTGGATGCTGTACCTGTTGTAAAGGAACCTATGGACACCGCCCTGCAATGTCACATCCGCAGTCATGACCGATGTTATAGAAGATAAACGCCATTGACAAGTAGACGATTTGATGACACAGAGAGAGGTCGTGAGCAGCTCATGGGTACCCAGCCTCGGACAGAGTGGGCTGGGAGAAGAACACACAGGACCTCATTCTTTGGATGATGAGAAGGAGCCGACAAAGTGAGGGCGTCAGAGCAGATGGTCTGTTGGGTCCCTCTAGCTCCATCCTGTCCTAGAGGAGAGCTTTCCCTGGGGCGACCCTCAAAGTGCAGAGTGAGCTCTAACTTTCTGAACGACCCCCACGGAAGACAGACACAGGCCTCAGACACGAGGCTGAGAAGCAGAACTGATTCTGCCTCCGTCAGCCGTTGCTGTGTGATAGGAAGACGCTTATTGAAATAACTGCTTTATTCATCTTAACTCCCCTGTCTTATCCAGAGAGGATGTGTAAGGAATTCAGGAAAAGGTTTCTCAGGAGTTGTTTTCGAACAAACACGACAGCCTTGATGGAGAGTAACGATTGTAACGGTAGCTCACAGGACGACTTCCGACGAGCCCAGCAGAGGATGCTGCGCGGATTCTCACGACAGCCTTCCGCGATGGCCACCACCCCTCTTTCTTAACGGACTGCCAGTCAATCAACTTCATCCTTTGCAGCAAAAGTGAGCAGCAGGTGCAGCGATTTCGCCTGGAGCCCTGTCCCCAGCGCAGAGCCTCCGTGTGTCCAGAGCCCCCAGCGGAGCGGGCGCCAGCTCCGGGCAGTGGCCGTTTCCCAGGCCACGCGCCGTTCCCGGCAGAGGAGCAGGACTGGAGGGCTCTGTGATGGGCGATCCTGACGCGCCAGCCCTGCCCCTGCTCCCTGGCCTGCCCGCCGGGGCTCTCCCAGGGCACGGCCTCTGCACCGCAGTGAGACGGTCCACACAGCTCCTCACTGTCTGCTGCAGACTCAGCCAGACGCGCGGCACAGACCTGTCTTTTCACTGCGTGTTGCTGGGGTCTCACAATCGCAAACTGAGTCTCCCAGAAATCGGGGACTGCCTTCTCGGAGGCACCAAACCTTTCGTTTCCTATTTAGTTACTTTTGTTGCAAGTCCTGGTGTCCGGTCTCCCCAAGCTGCTCTGCGCCCTGCACTCAGCTGCAGAGATGGAGAAGGGGGCGGGGCGTTCCGCGGGCTCTGCACCGCCTCCTGGGAGCTGTGGGCCCACCCCCGCAAGGGTACCCTTTGGGCGAGATGCTTCTAAATTTCTGAGAGCTGGGAGTGACAGGGGTGAGCTCAGAGAGAACCTGAAGCAAACCAAGGAGTGTCTGAGGAAAGGCAGAGGGGGAGGCCACCACCGCCCTAGTTCACTTCCTGAAAAGAAGCTTCTGGAAAACTCACTTCTGAAACAAGGGGGGGCTGACTTAATTTAGGGTGCTGTAGGGTGACATTATTACAGTTAGAGGCTGGTCTTACCAAGAAAGTGGTCTTCTCAAAGTCCTACCCTCCCCCTGGCCGGCTTGGCTCAGCGGTTAGAGCGTCGGCCCTCAGACCAAATGGTCTCAGGTTCGATTCCCCGTCAAGGGCACACACCTGGGTTGCAGGTTTGATCCCTGGCCCCGGTAGGGGTTGTGCAGGAGGCAACCAATCGATGTGTCTCTCTCACATCAGTGTTTCTCAGACCCTCCCTCTTTTCCACTCTATCTAAATATCAATGGAAAAATAGCCTCGAGCGAAGATCAACAACAAAATAAGAACAAACTAAAAGTCCTGCCCTCTTGTCTTTAGTGTCAAAAGTCTTGAGTTACTTTCATTTTACCCCGTTACAATTTATATCAGATCATTTCGAACATATGCTAGAAAAATGCACAAGAACTAAATGCTTGAATGAATTACTTGTGACATTTTGTTCTAGTCATACCAGCAATTAATCCAGACTTAATCAACCATAATAATATTTTTACACAATCAGGACACAGAATGGATAGCCTAAAGAATTTAGTTTGCTTTATAAGTCAGCTAATACAGATTTCTGTGGAGACCCATTAAACAAATTTGGCTTTTAAAAATGACTGCACTTAACGAACTACATCACCCTCGTGTTAGTCTAAACTAGTCTACTCCTACCGTGCGGACTGGGTGGGCGCAGCCACGAAATGTAACCCTCGCCGAGGGATCTGAACGCAGTGAGAAGCCATGTTCACGTTCACCGAATAGATGCTACCGGACGAGGCCACACTTCCCCGGACGCTCCGTTTCTGAAAGGCCCGCAGTAGCTGCAAATCGCTCTTACAAACGCTACTCTATTCCGTCTCTCCGGTGACAGGCTTCCTGGACGATGCGGGAACATGTCAGAGCCAGTGTCTAGGGAACAGCGACAGCGACAGCGAGTTGTTCATGACCACAGCCTGAGCGTCACAGACAGATCCGTGTGTCAGGGCAGCTCCGCCCGCCCCCAGCGGGAGGGACCCAGCGGCAGTAACAGGTGGTGGTGGCTCAGAGATGGAAGCATGAGTTACAGAGCCGGGGGGCGGCCCTTCCCTGACCCCCTTCCCGCGAACACGGGGAACACTGGCTTGGGGCCAGCGCGATGCTCCGTTCTTCCAGAGGGAGGGTCTTGGGGAGCGAGGTGGGTGATGTCCCGTATCCATCTTTTCCTTGTTGCTTTGGACATGTGCAATATGGATTTCCCCTGGAGCACGTCTTGCTACACTTGGGTGACACACGCATGTGAACTCAACAGGGATCAAGGTGACTCGTGCAGTGTAGACGTCAAGAAAAAGGACACGTTTGCTTTTCCTTTCGAGGCCAAAGAACAAGCTGATCATCGGATCACAATGAGAGTGTTTCACCTCTCGTCACCGTCCGACCTCCTAGCCCCCAAATCCGACCCCCACCTGGAGCCTTTCCTCCAGTTACAGGACGTGGACCTGTGGTCTCCCACGGGGACGGACAGCTCCCTCTCAGGGAAGCCCGGCTCCGGGTGGGGGTTGGGTGATCTCCTTACAATCATGGATGCTCAGAAACCCAGGCTTTAAACCCCGTCTTATCCCAGGAAATCTCTGTCTACGCAGGGCAGACAAGCAAATAACCCCACCGCGTAATGAGATGATGAGGCCTCGCCGTATATGGGTTTCTTGAAAAGCACACATTTGGTCCAGTCCCCAGAAATACCCCTGGAGAGACCCCTGCCTGGAAAACATCTCTGACGGGACCAGCGACGAGGGTCGCGCCGGCAGCACGTTTGTTCTGGCTGGACTGGGTCCCCGGTGCTGCACGTAATTAATGAAACCAAACCCAGGCGGCCAAGGCCCAAGGGGGAGCGGCGCCCCCAGGCTGCCCGGCAGAGCATGCGCTGACAGAACCGAAGAGCCGGGTGCAGAAGCACACTTATCCCCACCCCCCCTTTTTTTGGAGAGAGGCTGCTTTTGATCTGCCCTCTCTGACTCCGAATCTGACAGGTTGAGAGGACAGAGACCCGTGCGGTCCGTCCAGTGGGACGCCTGCACTCAGTCGAGCAGAACAGACCCGGCCGGTGCCGTGAGGCTCGACCTGAGACAGTCACCTCAACGACCCCACATATCACTGGACGGGCTCAGGGAGCCGGGGGTGCGCGGAGCATTCGGCTCAAGGCCCGGTTGCTTGATAGGTGACGAATGGTAAGATGATAAATATATCTGATTCTATTTTTATTTTCCTGGCAGGGCTGGTTAGGTCACCTCGCCAACACCTTCCCCAGACCAATAAGCCCATGCAAAGGAAGACACAGGAAAAAAAAGAAGCTGTGTAGAAACAGGTTGTGTACACCTGGGGGAACTGACGAGGTGTCATCAATTTCTGGCGCGGTGGCCTCAGCAGTGACACCCCACACCTGAGATTCAGGGCAGCAAGGGGCCGGGCCGCCCGAGCTGGCCCCAAGGGGCTACGCCTGGCCATTTTGGGGGCTGCTTCGGGCAAACCCTGCGGGTAGCCAGAAGTTTCACTCTTTTTAAACTTTCAAAAATAAGTTAATTCTTCTGCGAGCAAGGAACTCAGTCCTGTTGGTCGGCGGTTAGCACCTGCTGTTCGCCACCCGGCCCTGGCTGGCTGACCTCGGTCGTGATTCACAGCTGACCTCGTGGCCGCTTCTCAGATGAAAAGCAGCAAAACAGAGACCTCTCGCGTGAACCACAGCGTTCAAACCAGCCACGGACGGGCTGACACGGGCACGTGCTCTCTCCTCCACGCCCGCGACGGAGCAACTCAAGTCTCCCGTCACTTAACCCAGCCTACTTGAAGGATAACGACAGAGGGCGTCAGGAGAACCACCCACCCCGAAAGGGCTCTCAAGTCCTGGTTTACACCCGAGGGTGCGTCAGAAGGTCCGGCCTTCCCGAGGGCCGCAGAGGCATCAGGGCTCATGCCTTCCTGGGCTCCTCACCGTCCTTCATTGCAATCGTGGAAATGGACAGAGCAAAACGGAACCAATGTCAAATGGCCAGTCTCAGGGACTCCAGAGAGGACTTTGAAAATACTTAAAACATGAAAACTGAAAAGACAGGACCTCCCCTCAATGAGGCCGGCTGTGCGTCCAGTGGAGTTTTGGAGGTTTGCTTCACGCTAGGGAGTGGCCCTGTAGTGGAGGGGCCAGAGAGCGGAGGGGGGGACGGGCCTGGGCAGTGGAAGGGGCCAGGATGGGCTGAGTTGGGGTGGCAGCTATTAGTCAAGACACAAGGGCACCTTTTAATATGTTAATGCTTGTTCTGAATATATAAGATCATGCCATCTGCAGATAGAGATATTTTTATTTCTTCCTTTCCAATCTGAATGTTTGCATTTCGTTTTCTTGCCTTATTTCTCTGGCTCAAACTTCTAGAACTTCTAGCATTATGTTGAATAGGAATGGCGAAAGTGGGCATCCTTGTCTTGTTCCCGATCTTAACGGAAAACCTTTTAGTTTTTCACCACTGAGTATATTCCTGTGAACTTATCATATGGCCTTATTATGTTAAGGCAAAAATCCTTCTATACCCAGTTTGTTGAGAGATTTATTTTTTATTTTTTTATTTTTTATCATGAAAGGGTGTTGAATGTTGTCAAATGCTTTTTTCGTATCTACTGAAATATTCATGATATTGATCCTTCATTCTATTGATATAGGGTATTATTTTTACTAACCTGACTGTGTTAATAAGCCACCCTTGTATCCCAGTGTGTATGATCCTTTTCATGTGCTGTTGGATTCGGTTTGCTAGTATTTGGTTGAGGACGACTCTGCATCTATAATCATCAGAGATAAGTGGCCTGTAATTTTCCTTCTTTTCTTGTAGTGTCTTTGTCTGGCTTTGGTGTCAAGGTAATGCTGGCCTCGTAAAATGAGTTTGGGAGTGTCCTCACCTCTTCAAGTTTTTGGAAAGTTTGAGAAGGACTGGCATTAGTTAATTCTTCTTTAAATGTTGGGTAGAATTCAACAGTGAAGCCATCTGGTCTTGGGGTTTTGTTGGGAAGTTTCGGAATGCTGATCCAATCCATTACTTGTTATTGGTCTGCTCAGCTTTTCTAACTCTGCGTGATCCGGTCATGGTAGGTTGGTTGTTTCTAGGAACTTACCCATTTCTTCTAGGTTATCAAATTTGTTGACAGGTAATTGTTCAGTCATCTCTTAGAAGAGACTTGATTATTTTTGTGGTATTAGCTGTGATGTCTCTTCTTTCATTTTTGATTTTATTTACTTAAGTCTTTTCTCCTTTTTTCCTTAATAAATTAGCTAAAGGTTTGTTGATTTTATTTATCTTTTTTTAAAAAACAACTCTTAGTTTTGTTGAATTTTCCTATTTCATTGGTTTCTGCTCTAATCTTTATTATTTCCTTCCTTGCTAACTTTAGACTTAGTTTGTTATTTTTCTAGTTCCTTGGGGTATAAAGTTAGATTGTTTTTGAGATCTTTCTTCACTAGTAAAGCCAACACTGTAGACTGAAAGGGTCTAACAGACATAAAATAAAGCATTCCACCTAATAGCATCAGAATACACATTCTCTCTTTTTCAAGTACACATGGAACATTCTTCAGGATAGATAAAATATTAAGTCATAAAATAATCACTCACAAATTTAAGGAGATTAAAATCATACCAACTATCTTTTCTGATTATAATGAAATAAAACTAGAAATCAGTAACAGATAAAAACTTTAAAAATTCAGAAATAATGAAAACTATAAAACATACTCTTGAACAACCCATGGGTCAAAGAAGAAATCAGAAGGGAAATTACAAAATGTCATGAGACAAACGACAATGAAAACACAATATACTCCAAGTTATGTGATGCAGCCAAAGCAGTACTTAGAGGGAAGTATATAGTGATACATGCCTACATTAATTTCTTATCTTAAACACACATATTTTTATTGCTTTAAATGCACAAGCAAGCTACCACTACCTGGTGGCAGTGTACCTAAAAACAGGATCCAGTTTTGTGTCGGTGAATAGACTCTTTTGAAAGCAGAGTATATGAAACTGAATCCAATAAGTGACGGCATACGTAACAGTAGGATGAGCTACAAGGTTTGATGCATGAGAAACTGAGGGAATGTTAGCAATGCCCAGAAGTCAAGGCATTCCAAGGCTGAGCTGTTCCCCTGGCACACAACAGTGTTCTCCTGACTCTTCTATTTGCCCCCCACCCCCTTTTAGCAGACTAAAAGGGGGTGAGGGGGCAGACTTTCCTCCTTTCACTCAGTCTCCTATTTCTTACTTACTGAAAACCATTATTGCAAAGAATAGCAATTTTTCTCCAAGGAACAAAAGCAGTTAAAATTTGTAGACACCCTGACAATGACAAACAGGGCCGATGCCATCACCCATCACGGATTCAAGACACTCCACGCTGGCCTGCGGTCACGGTTACTCACCGAGGTTGTACCACATGTCTCTGATTTCGAAGCCAATCTGTCTCCTCATGTCTCCATACCTGAAAACCAGGAACAGGAAAGGTGCCGGGTCACTCGACAGAGCATTTGAAAACCAAACTTGGATTACTGTTCTGTGCAGTTCCGGCCACTGTCACAGAGACAAATAAAGACAGTGTCTAGGCTTCATCCTCCTTTGCCACCAAAGGGAACGGAAGGAGGAGGGGCCCAGTAGGGGAATCGCACCTACCCAGCACCACGCGTTACATAACACCCTCCCCCTGTGGGCTCACGGGGGAGGGGGGAAGGTAGTGATGAACGCTCCTTTCTTCGGTATCCAAGGGCCAGTGGGAGAGAGCCTGGCTCCTTGGCCTAAGGGGTGGGGGGCTTGTTTCCTGTGTCTGTTGTTAGCATCAGACACTGTGGACACCAGCGACACCCCACAACCTGCCACAACAAGCAATGTCCCCGACTGGCCATTAAGCCCTGGAGCCTGGTGTACGGCGTCGGAGCAGGGAGGCCTCCTCCAAGTATCTCCCTCTCTCCTCTGCCATGTCCAGGGTAAGGAAGGGCTCAGCACCTGGCATTGTCAGCAATCACCCCCCACCCTGTTTTGTGTTTATCAGGGAAAAACAGATGCTAATTTTCCTCCCAGTGGGTCGGCAGAGGGGGTGTGTGTTTCCAGAGTAAACAGAATTTGATGCTTCAGAAGATAAACCTTTATTAGTTTGTGAGCAATTTAACTTTTCCCTTTATTGCCTAAGGAAAAGGCTGATTATATTAAACATAATAACTTGTGAAATTATCGTACAGAGTTACAGTTTCTCAGCTGCGTTGTGGGTTTGCTCTGTTCCCCTCTCGTCAGCTGACGTGACAAGGTCGTCCGAGTCCAGGCCACCGAGCCGTGGCTCTGGAGGCAAAGATTCTGGCCACAGCCTCTGTGCCCTGGACACCTGCCCATCAGTGACGGCAGGAGGGTTACTGACTGGGGACCACAGCAACCAGGGACATGAGCCCACCTGCCTGGCAGCTCCCTCACAGACGAGACACTGAACTGAGAACCTAACCCCTCCCTAGAGGGACCAGCTGGTCCTCTGAGAAGACATGACCCCCCAGCCCAGCCCAACAACCGGGGGAGAGGGGGGGCGCTGATGCTGCCGGACCCCGTGAGCAAGACAGGATCTCGGCCGGGAACGCACGCACCACCAACGGCAGGGTGAGGACAGGCCTGTCCACTGCTGGTGGAAAGTTCCCCGCAGAAAGTGGCTGAATCCAAGTTTGTGGGTGACAGGAGAGCACCCTTCAATGCCTAAACGACACTCCAAATCACCCACGTGTGTATGATCTGAGTGGCGCGAGTTTGAGGCTCACAGGGCCGTTTCTCTGATTCCCGTGTGGCTCCCATGCACACGACAGAGGGGCCGGGCAGCTGCCGCCCAGGACGGGAAGGGACACAGTGGCTGCCTGTGACCTGGGAGACGGGCGTCCTGCTGGGCTCTGCAGGGCAGGAGGAACATGGAAAGTGAAACCGCACTCACGGCCGGTGCCGAGCTCTCCTCCCGAGGCTGCTGAGGGTCTCGCCGTCCGAGCAGACGAGCCACTTTGCAGAGGAGCGGACATCTGGCGAGGCAGGGATGGTGGCATCACAGCAGAGAGCCAAGGACACCCCCCCCCCGCCCCTGCCACCACGGGTTCAGACCTCAGTGCGCCAAGGAGGCCAAGGGTCCCGAGGAGGTGTGATCCCGTCACAGGGCCCACCTGCCACTGACTGACTAACACGAGCTTAAATACTCTTCTTGCCCTGGCTGGTTTGGCTCAGCGGTTAGAGCGTCGGCCCGCGGTCCAGAGAGACCTGGGTTCGGTTCTCGCTAAGGGCACGTACCTCGGTTCCAGTTTGTCCCCGGCCCGAGCTGGGGTTGTGTGGGTGGTGACCACTTGTTGTGTCCTCTCTCACACTGATGTTTCTCTGTCTCTCTTCCACCCTCTCTCCCTCCCACTCTATCTGAAGATAAATGCAAAAGTGTCCTCGGATGAGGATAAAATAAAATAAAAATAAAAATAAACACTCTTCTCCCAGCCTCACAATTCCTTCTCGTCCTGGGAAAATATCTCAAGAAAGAAGAGCAGCTGACGCCAGGTCCTCGTCTGTGTCTGTGCCATTCCGGCCCCGACTCCACTCCTCTGTCAGGTCTTGTGGATTCTCCATCCGGAGGGACGCCCCAGATTCAGGAAGATGAGGCACAGGGGCCCCTCGGCAGCGGTGGGTTCAGGGATGCGGTCTGGGTCGTTCAGGAGCGATCCGATGGCTCAGGGCGTCAGGCCCGCCCTCCTCCGCAGTTGGAGTCGACACCTGGCCACGGGCCCCAAGGAGGGGTCTGCCTCTCGGCACGGTGCTCCCCTCCAGGGGCTGACGGGCTGGGGGCTCACACTTTCCAGCGATGCCTCACTGCCTTGTACATGGAAAACGACGAGCCTTCGCGGCGTCTGGGAACCGGGGGTATGTGAAGGGGAGAGCACGTCCCTCCTGAGGGTCCCGAGGGTCTGGCCTCCTGCACAGGTGCTAACGATGCCGCCTCCCGCGTCCAGCGAGACAGAGGCGCTCCCGGCCGGGAGGAAGGACATGAGTGGGGAAGGAGCTGGAGGGGAGGGCGAGGCTGAGCCCCCCTGGCAGGGAGATCCGGCTTCGTTCAGCTTTAATAAGGAGGCAGCATGGATGGATCCATACACGTCTCGGCGTCATCCCCAGCAGGTTCCAGCTGCCACCAGAACCCGAGAGGGACCCGGAACCCCGTGTCCCTTCGCCCCGAGGAGGAGGAGGCGACAGCTGAGGTTCCGGGCTGACGTGCAGAACCGCCGAGGACCTTCCAGAGCGGGTGCGGACCTTTGACCGCGGCGATGTCCCCTCTAACACTGCCCAGCGGAGGGGACTGGACTGGTCCTAGTGGGGGAGCAGAGCTCACGGGCCAGGGGGAAGAGATGCCCAGGCTTCAGACTCCGAAACCCAGGATCTTGGCCCACAGCAGGTGCACCGGGGCTGCCCGGGCCGGAGTGACGTCCCAGCACCACGCAGGGCTGCACGGTCCACGTGCGTTCATGTCACTTGATCCTCACGGGAGGTGATGGATGAGCGAGAAGACAGGGCCGTGGCCATTTTCTCCCGAGGAAGCCGAGGTGCCCGGAGACAGACGTGCCTGGTTCCGAGAAGCTGGAGCAACGTGGGGCTGGAGTCACCTGGCGCCGCCACCCACCCGACTGCCCCGTGCCCACCAAGGTGAGTGAGCACCTTCACGCCGCCAGCGGGCCCCCAGGAGGCAACCTTCCCACAGACAGAGGGAGGATCCCGCATTCCGCCTGTGGCCTCACCTCAGCACCTGGTTCCCTGAATTTTCACCCCAAGAAGCAGAAAATCCAAGTCCACCAGAGACAGCGCCGTCATGGAGTAAGGCCGACTGTGGCCCAAATCTCAGCACATCGGGCAAGTTACCTGACCACTCTGACCCTCAGTCTCCTCGTCTGTAGCGCTGGGATAAAAATGTGTGATGCTCACCTCCTAGGCTTTTGTGAGAACGAGAGATGAGGCCCCTGTGTCCCAGCCCTCAAACCAGACCGGGTCCCTCCCTTTGGAGGCTCCGACTAGGCTCCTCACAGCATCGTCCTCAGGGTGTCCCTGGTCATTCCGACCCATTCGGTGAACAACACGCCTTGATGCACTAGTCCCGAGCCTGCCCTGGAGCCAGGCACAGAGCTAACGTAAAATATGACTGTTGGGGTAGCAATATGACTGCAGTGTGGAAAGTAGACAAGACCCACACCCTTGAGGGGCTAGAGGGACCCTGGTGGAGAAGGACTTCAGTCAAACAATCTCACAAGACGTGTGTGCAGGTTCGATCCCTGGCCCTCCTGCACGCGAGAGAGGCAACAATCGATGTCTCTCTCTCTCTCTCACATCGATGTTTCTCTCTCCCCTGCCCCCACTCCCTTCCACTCTCTCTGAAAATCAAGGAAAAAATATCGTCAGGTGAGGATTAAAAAAAAAGCAACTTTTCTAACTTTGGGGACAGATGGCAAATAGACTCATTGTGGTGATCATCTTGCAATGTGGAATCATTATGTTGGAACGATTATGTCATCTGAAACTAACATAATGTTGTGCATCAATTATACTTCCAAAAAAAAAAAAAGCAGCAACCAACACAGGTGAACCTGCCACACGTCCCAGCCCCAGCGCAGCTGCTCTGGACCGGGGGACACGGCTGGCGGGTCTCATCGTCCCTGGTTCGGGGGGCTCTGAAAGCCCAGGACTTGGCGGGAAGACCCGTGTCCTGCGGCAGCCAAGTGAGACACACACTCACAGACATGAGAAAGGCTAAGCCGCTGTCACCTGCTGACGTCCCTCCGGAGTCTCTGACCTCAGCGCGCGGCCCGGGGCGGGGGGCAGAGTCTGGGAACAGCCCGTTACGGCAGAGGTCTCACACAGTGACAAACAGGGACGGTGATGGCGCAGTGGAGGGCGATTTGAGAACCCATCTCAAAGTGAACGGATGAATGGATGAATGAATGAATGACTCTTATATGCTGCTTTCTGAGAAATCCCTGTTTGAGTACGTTTTGTGGTGGCCTGTTGAAAAGGTGGAGCAAGGCGACCTAGCATTCCGTACGGTTTAACAGGGCAGAATTCCTGCAAAATTAATCTGTAAGCAAATTCAGACGTCCTGTTGCTTTTTCTCAAGAACACTGAATAAAGAAGGAAAAGTAAAAAACAAAGGAGTACACAGGAAAAGGGTACTCGGAGAAGTGAACCTGGTGCCACTGGGGGGGGGGGACCCTCAGGGCGCCCGGGGGTCGGTATTGGTGGAGAGAAACCCGTGCAAGGATTCGGGGGCCTGGGAGCCAGGCAGGGTCTCCGCCGCCCAGGGGCTTCGGTGGGGTTTGCTAGGATGAGCCTCGTGCCAGGTCAGGCCCTCAGAGCCCCCGCTGGGGTGGAGCCAGGGGCATCTGGCAGGGCGGGAACCCAGACAGCTCCAACTGCACAGCGAGTCCTTCAGTCCCACCGTGCCAAGCCTCTGCCAGGAGCCCCATTTCTGAAGCGGTGTCAGAGAAGCACCACCACAGACCCCACGCGGGACACTGGTCAGTGCACAGCCAAAGCGATCATCTCCCCAAACTGCCGTCCCGTGCGGTGCTCAGCTGCCAAGTCACCCTGACTCGGAACCCGCCAGGAGGAATCCTGCAAGGTCACGTCCCGATTCACGGGTTCGGAAAGGCAACACCGACACGGGCTGGGACCCGCCCTCTCGTTCCGCCCTGACCGCGTCTCCGCTCGAACCGGGGCGGCTCAGAGGCTCCCGCACAGTCACGCTCACAGCGCTCCGGGTGCTGCCCTGCGAGGGGCTGGGGGCGACTTACTTGTTGAGGATTTTGGCTCGCTTGGCGCTCGAGAAGTTCTCCAGCTGCAAGGACTCCTGGGTGAGGAAGGCGACCGCCAGGTGGAAGTAGTTATTCCACAGCTGGAAACACAGGGGAGACGCAGAGGTGTTGACCGGGGCCCTGCCGCGCGGGGACCGGCCTCATCGGCCCAGCACACTTCAGGCTGTTTCAAAGCCGCCCGGGGTGTGTTCGGGGCCCACTGGGCTGAGGTCCACCGCGTGAGCTCACACCCCAGCTCTGCCTCTTACCGAGGCGAACACCACTCAAGCCTTCGCATCCGCCCGGGTAGGATGGGGCTGCAACAGTGCCCACCCCGTGGGGCTGCCGAGGATAAAGGGCGAACCCAGCCTTCCTGTGGTGCTGGGCAGCCCTCAGAACGGGGTACGTGTTCGCCCTGCCGGAGACCCTGGCTTCACAGTACACCGATCCCCATCATTCATGACTTTTTGTTCTCATACTAAATGTGTAAATATCAGACAAGAAAAACAGATGCAAAATAACAAACGTTTCGTTTAACAGAAGCACAGACTGGCCGTGACCTGAGGGACCACGCACTGTGAAATGACGAAGGTCTGCGTGGCGGGGTCCGTGCATCCGGACGCGCTAACCGAGACCTGTCGTCACGAAAGTGTTCTGCCGCGAACAACGTCACGGGCACCTTCCTGAGGCCACGGGACTAACCCCTGCTGAGGTGGATGCTGAAGACAGGGCAGCACCATGGAGAGGAGGAGTCCGTGGGTCTGGCAGCGGGAGGTTTTGCTTGCTCCCCGGCATTCAGTAAGGGGCACCACCATCCACCTCCGCGCCGAGACTCGCTCGGGGCCCTGTCCCTTCCCACACCCTCAGATCAATCAGCAAGTCCACCAGCTTTCACCTCACAAATACTCCCACCCGCCACGGGGCCCGTCGGGGGCTGCAGGGCAGGGGTCAGCCCCTCCCACAGACCAGGACAGCAGCGGCCTGCTCCTGTCTCTGGCCCCGTTGCTCACACACCCCCTGCCACACCGCAGCCACAGGGACGTGACTCTCATCCCAGGGCCCCTGGTCCAGCTTGAACCCCTTTGGGAACTTCCCACACCTGCCAGGTCGGAACAGACCCTGAGGATGAGGGCTACCTCACCCACTCGTCCCCTCACAACCTGTCCCCTCACACCCCGGGCTGACAGCCCTCTGCCTGGGCCCCTCAGACAAGGGCCCACCCTTTTCTCCTCTCCGGGGTGGCTCAGCGCACCTGGATCAGGTGCGATCGCCCTTCCTGGCCCGCAGGGCACACGGTCAGTGCCTACAGTGACACTCAGTTCTCCCTCACGGGGCGGGCGTCCGTCCAGCCTCGCGGGCTCTCCCTCCACGGCGCAGTGTCTGGCGTGGAGGAGGGATCGAGTGTGGCTTTCAGGGAGCGATCCGGCAGCAACGGTGAGAACCTCGGGGGGACCCACGGGAGTTCCCAGACGCAACGTGACAACTGTATGGACATCTCCTCCGGACCGTTTCCAACGGCTCCCTCTCCCGGAGGGCGGCGCCCTGCTGGGAGCTGTGGGGAGACGGGGAGAGGCCAGCGGGGAGCCCCACCCCCGAGAGCAGCAGCGAGGGCTCAGAGTGGACGCCAGGGGCCCGCTGAGCCTGGAGAAGGGCTGTGTTCGGCCGAGGAAGGACCGTTCTCCCAGCAGAGGACACAGGGACCGTTCCACCAGCACGAACAGAAAGAGCCGGGGCCTGCGGGGCTCCCTGACGTGTCCCAGCTCGGACACCCCGCGCAGAAATGTGTGCATGTCGAGCTTCTCGATGCCAAACAGGGACAGTGTTTATTGCTCCAAGTGAGATAGCTGGATAGAGTCCTACGAAAACCGGGCGCTGACCCTTCTCACTCCATCTGTTACCTGGGACTAAGTGCGAATTTTAAAGCAGGAAGAGAGGAGACTGTGTCGGCTTCCACTCACCCCAGAGCCACAGGGTGTAGAGTGAGGCGTCCCAACCCACAGCCCACAGAGTGATTTCTCGATCAGCCCCTTTCACAGTGATGGGGGGGGGGGCTGGGGCCAATACACCTGCTGTGCCTCCCACCTCCACTGCCCGCCTCCTGGCCACACCCTACTGTGGCCACAGCCACGTGCATCCTGAGAGTCACAGTCGGGACACAGCTCAGACAGGACCCGCGAGTGCACGGACCCAGCGGGGTTTTCACTTAGACCTGCGGCCCGTGAAAACATCAACAACGTGGATGCCTGAGTCTCCAGCGTCACTGACCCCCCATCCCCCTCTTCAGCGCCTCTCTGCTGAGTCTGAAGCCTCCCAGGCACCCGCCCCAGGTGCCTGGGAACAGTGTCGTCAGCGGCCGCTGCCCCGCACACTGGCCGACCAGGCGCTCCTGTCTGTAAAGCCAGACGGGACGAGCAGGAGGAGAACTTTACTTCCTCAGCACAGGGAGGCTGCCTGCTGCTGGCACCCCAAAATCCCTCGGCACTGTCAGAGCCTGAGTGGGGTGAGGGGCCCCAGGGGCCAGGAGCACACGGCACAAGGGTCATCATTTCTGAGACAGTCCTGCTGAAGGGCAGTGTGGCCGGGGCTGACCGCGAGGGGCATGAGAGCCCACAGGGGGCCTTCTGCAAACACACGGCCTGTCCTTCAGAAGTCTCGAGGTCAGGAGAGTCAAGAAGAGTGAGGAACTGGTCTAGCCTAGAGGAGACGGAATGCGTGGCGGGGGTGGTGGATGACCACACGGAGCGCAGAGGGTTTGCAGGGCAGAGTGAGTACCCTGTGTGATACCATCATGGTGGACACAAGAGCACACTGTCCGGCCCTGGCCGCGTTGGCTCAGCGGTTAGAGTGTCGGCCCGCAGACCAGAGTGTCATGGGTTTGATTCTGATCAAGGGCACGTACCTTGGTTGCAGTTCGGTCCCCAGCCCTGTTCAGGGTCGTGCTGGAGGCAATCAATCAAGGTGTCTCTCTCACATCAATATTTCTCTCTCTCTTTCTCCCCCTCCTTCCCACTCTCTGAAGATAAATGGAAAAATACCCTCGGGTGAAGATTAAAAGAAAACATTTGTCCAAACCCAACACTGCCTAGAGAACACTGAGGGAACCCTGGTGTCAACTATGGATTGTGAGTGATGGTGTGTCGGTGTAGGTCCATGGACGGTAACAAAGGGACTGCTCCGGTGCGGGATGCTGTTGGTGGGAGGGCTGGGCAGGTGTGGGACAGAGGGCAGGTGTGGGACAGAGGGCAGGTGTGGGACAGAGGGCAGGTGTGGGAAAGAGGGCAGGTGTGGGGCGGAGGGCAGGTGTGGGGACGGAGGGCAGGTGTGGGACGGAGGGCAGGTGTGGGGACGGAGGGCAGGTGTGGGACGGAGGGCAGGTGTGGGACGGAGGGCAGGTGTGGGGCGGAGGGCAGGTATGGGGCGGAGGGCAGGTGTGGGGCAGAGGGCAGGTGTGGGGCGGAGGGCAGGTGTGGGGACGGAGGGCAGGTGTGGGGACGGAGGGCAGGTGTGGGACGGAGGGCAGGTGTGAGACAGAAGGCAGGTGTGAGACAGAGGGCAGGTGGGGGAAATCTCTGCACCTTCTGCTCAAGTTTGCTGTGACCCTAAATGGTATAAGAAAATCAAGTCTTAAAAACAAAAAATCCCATAAAATACAAGCATTAAGAGAAAACAAAACGGTGAGCAATGACCATGACAGCAAACTGCACCAGGTGACGCTGACTTCTGAACAATACGACAGGGACGGCTGAACACGAACGGCGTCTGAGGCCCAGAGGGTAGTGATAACAATGTAAATCCCTGATCTGGGCGGCTGTGCTGTCGTCCTATGGGAGGAAGTCCCTGTTTGGAGGAGACATACCCAGTACTGGGGAGGTGGCAGGGTGCAGATGTCAGCTCGCTATTCGAAGGCCAGGAAACATGTCTTTGTACCGTACTTGCCAGGAATGAAGAACAGCCTGAGGAGGGGCAGCGGGAAGCAGAGGGGAAGGAGCAGCCCTCGGGGCTGATTAGTTCAAGGGTAAGTGTCAGGAGAGAGAACTGTGCAGCGAACCTGAGGATGTAAGAACATAAAAATCCGCCCGGTCACAGCGCCAGCTGCCTGGAGAACCCACTGAAGGCTGCCTCCGCCCCACGGCACGCAGACACTCCCCAGGGGTGGAGGGTGGGCACCCTTTGGGGTAACGCACTTCTCACCTGCCAAGGGCAAGGCGCTCTGCTGGGCGGAAAGAGCAGGTTGCTGCTGCAGCCTGTGGTGCAAGGGGGACGTGGGGGGGGGCACTCACGAGGCGTGAACAAGGGCAGCAGTGACCGACATGCCGGAGACAGCAGCCCACGCTCACAGCAGCCACGCAAAGCACTCAGCCATCTGCCCGCAGGTAACAAACACATGACAACACCTAACGAAGGACACACACACACAAAGACCAAAATATTCTGTATGAGATGGGAGAATAAATACTGCAAAGTCATCCCCCGACACGAGCATTCCCCTACATCGACTTATGATTTCAATGGAACCCTAGCTAAAATAAAAACAGCAAAAAGAAAAAAGAAAAAGGTTAAGAAGCTGATTTTGAATTTCACGTGGAAATTCTAAAGAAGAGCTCGGATAATTCTTCAATGCACACTAACAGGGAAGCCTTGGCCCTGCTAGCTGGGTATAAAACCAGGAAGTAATGACAAAGACCAGACTTGATACACACACACTTGCAACTATGTTAACAGTGGCATTTCAAATCATTGGCGAGTAGCATCTACTCATGAAACCATGCAGAGAAAAGTGAAGTTGAGCTTTTACCCCCCTACCACTAACTATAAAAATCCCAGATGGATTAGTCATTGAAAAAAAAAATTTTAAGCAGAATTATAAAGGTATTAGCACATACAAACTACATAAAAATAGTTACGTTTATAATATCAAGGCAAAGAAGGACTTGCCAAGCAGAATATAAAACCCAAGAGCCATCAAAGAAATGACGGTTTTACTGCAGAACAATGAAATGTTTCTATATGATAAAACTAAACCCATGACTAAGCTATATCAAGAATTTTAACTTATGAAAAAAGTGCAATAGCCCAATAGAAAAACAAGCACAGGAAATGATCAGAAAGTTCCCTAGTAGAAATCCTCACAACCAGTGAGTATTTTCAGCCTAACTAGCAATTACAGAAATTCCAATTAAAAAAAACAAACAACAAAAAAACTAACCATGTTAAAGAAACAGATATTGGAGAAGGTTCTAGAAAATGGCTTATCTCAGAAAAGGTTGGTGGGATTGCAAATTGCAGAAGCATCTCCATCAAACTAAAATTTCGTACTGTTCATGCAGTAATTATGTCCCCAGGAACCTTGTCTATAGCCATGCAGCCCTGAGCTGTGTCAGTGTTTACTGCTGCTGCAGCATTGCTAATCGGGGACACTGGGAACAGCCTGCAGGTCACCGTGCGGGAACACCTGCACACGTCGGTACATTTATACCGTGGGATGTGACTCAACTGAAAAACACATAGCATGTGATCCACTCATGTTAAAAGCCAAAAGAAAGCATGCATAGGTCTCTATCAGAAAGACCACACAATGGGTCTTTTAAAAGCTACCCTGCAGAGGGAAAAAGACAGAAAAGGGGTCCTTTGTTTATTTTACTCCATCGGCTGGTTTTCGCTGCATGAAAATTTTCCGATGAGAATGTATTTGTGTATTAGGACACGTGAAAATAAGTTTTAAGCAGAGAAAATAATACAAAGTGAAAGATAACATATCTAGATATCTAGTGCTTGGTACATTTTATATTTATGTTCTATAATGCCGAGAAGATAGAAATTTAAATTAAAAACTGTAAAAGCAGTAAGGGCTGAGGCACCTAGGACCCGCCCTAAGTATGGCATTAGCTGGGAACTGTCGGGAGGCCGTGCAAAAGTACACACGCATCTAACGTCTGCCGTCACGATCACATTTTCCACCTGCACCACCCACTGCAGGAAAAGAAATTCTTCAGGCGCCTTCTCCGTGAAGGAATCTGCCCAGGAAACTAACATGCCATTCGCATCTGCACGCTTTTTTTATTTGCAAACTTGAGCGAATGAAACTAAGTAATAATAACGACACAATCATTGTTAGCAGAAGCACGCCCAGGAGAATCAGATGCATAGTAAATCCTGGCAGGCAAAACCCTCCCTCTTTGCGCACACACACATGCATGCACGCACACACATGCATGCACGTACACGCACACACATGCACGCGCATGCACACACACACACACAAACTGCAAACCCTGAAGGTGCAGGGCTGAAACTGGTGGGCCAGCTGACCCACACCCACGGGGATGGGGAGCGGTCTCTTGCCTGGCAAAGGTTACTTGAGCAGGACAAAGCCCAGAGAGAATATATCAGGGGAAACTGAGTCCTGAAAGCAAGCGGAGCTCAGGGATGTGAACCCACTTTGCCTCCTCTGCGGACCCTCATCAGCGGGTCTGAGAACATCCTGGCTGCCACTCTCGCCAATGCAGTGGCGTCCCTGCTGAGTCCCTACTTGTCACTGACTGAATCCTTTCTTCACCATCTTACTCGTTAAGTTGTGCAAATACCCCGAAGGCACAGTTTTCAATCCTCGAGTCCCGATAGCACGCACCGTAAATGCCGTTCCCGCACCTTGGAGGGGAGACCGATGAAGTGTGCGGATTCGGGAGAAAAGATATTGGCTCAGACGAGCAATTTGTTTTAACATGATTTCCCAACCAAGGTCATGTCTACCTCTCTTCTCTTACCTGTAGCTCAAAGTTGGCTTGATCCAGAAATTTTTTGTTCAGCATATCTGCATACTGATTAATCGCTCTCAGGAAGACTCTGAAAGATCAAGAGAAAATTACATAATTACACACTCAGGCTCTGGCACCTCGGAAGGTTTGGCATTTCAATTAGATCCAACCCGAGACTGTCTGGAAAGGGAACTCTGCCAGTCCTGCGAAAAGCGGCGAGGGTTTGCCCGTGAAAAACCCAGACAATTCTGTGCAGACCTTCTCCAAATTAATCAAGGAAATTTGCACACTCAAAATAAAAAAAAAAACAGACAAAAATAACGACGTCTGAAAGTAACTTATGAAAAGTATCACTAAAAAAACCCATTTTAAAAAGGTGCCAATTAAAGCCTTTTCTCAAGTCACAACGCCTTAATGTTACATTATTAAGCTGCTCTTTGCTCAGCTGGCTTCTGCAGGTTACGCACTGGAAAATGCTGTCACACACCGGCGTGGCGGTGTGTCTTATTTCGGTATCATTTGTCCTATGCTTCAAATGCCAATTCTGGTCACTGTTTACATAAAACTTTTAAAAACCTTTAATAGCTATGAAACTGCTTTAACAAGAACTTCAGCAAGAATACTGAATGACTCATCGAGAATGTACGATCTGAAGCACCCGGAGCAAAATACCACACACATCCACACCGTCACTTTGCTCTTTACGATGAGATGTGCCATTTGAACTCTCATAAATGACTCCGCGGCACCAAGCCCTTCACAAGCTGGTGCACTTAGACTTGTTTTATTCCTCCTGAAAGTGTGGGTGATAACAAAGCTCAGTCCAGATGCTTCTTTTTTAAGGGCCCCTCTCTGCGCCAAGGCGGGGGCACAAGGAATCAGCACGAGGTCGCAGATAGTCCAGCTCAGTACAGTTCCTCTAGAAAGCAGCCGCAGCACATAAGAGAAACCCAGCTTATTTACCAGGGACCCTGCTCTCTGATAACTCATCTCCTCTGTGACTCCTGCCCTCAGAGCTCGCTGTCCCTGGCCATCTCAAGCCACTAATGGCCAGTTAGCCAGGAGGAGGGAGAAAGGGAGTCTCAGCGGGGGCTCCATCACCCCCTCTCACCCCTCCCGGCCGCTGCACGCCCGTGTTCACGGAGTCTCTCTCGTGCTCACACTGTGTGCAGCTCTGCAGGTGGTGGAGCTTCGCAAACATCGTCTCATTAAGAAACCCAGCCGTGGGGTCCAGGGCCAAACGTGCGTGATGCATGGCCTGTGACGCATGGTTTGCTGTCTCCGTTGCTGAAGAAAACTGCAGACCAGCGGTTCTCAACCTTTCATGGGGGTCGCCTAAGACCATGGGAAAACACGTACTTCCGATGGTCTCAGGCACCGAGACCCCGCTCCTCTGGCCGCCTCCAGAAGGATCTACCCACATGCAGACACGCCCACAAACAAGAGGAACTGTATCAAAGTGTCCGGGCGTTAGGAAGGTGGAGAACATCTGCTTTGGATGGAGTTATCCGAATTCCTCTCAGGGGACGTTAAATGTAACCAGAACGGGGGAATTCGTGTTTTAAGTAACTATTAACCAAGGGACCTGGTGATCCTGGCTGTGTTCATTAACCAAGACTGGGCAGCAGCCTCCATTAGCCAGGGGAGGGTCAGATTCTTCAAGCATAGGATGCCCGGTGACATTCGAAAAGCAGCCCTTACTGCTGAATTTTATAATTTGGTGGGAAGAAGCTAAATACAGGGCAATTAGGGTATCCTGAAAAATGGACACAGCACCAGGACAAAACCACCACATTCAGGGTGAGTTTTGTATACACAGAACACCTGGTACCCTAACTAGCCTCCAGTCCTGGGCTGGGGTCGCCCCTGTCCCATGCAGTCCACAGAAGTGCAGGACGTGGGCTCAGGGGGAGACGGTCTGCCCTGCCCACCTGCCCCTGGGTAACTGCGTTCAGAGGGGCTTGCACTGACCCAGCAATCAGAAGCTCCCAAAAGATAGTGGGACAGGGCAACTTCCTGTCATCACGAGAGTGGGCTCTCACGCGACACAGAAACACTCGGTTTTTGGCCACACGTTTTTGTGCTTGGTTTTCCCTTCACTTGCAGAGCTTGGCTGTGTGCTCGAGTACCCGTGGGTCCTTGGGTGCACGGAGGAAGACCCCTCTGCAGCCCTCGGCGATACAAACGAGCTAACCAGAACGTGCATTATTAGTACAGGGTAATTATTTTGCCTCTCGATAGCATTCGACCAGTTGCAACGTGCTACTTCTAATTAAGCACGGGAACAATTTCAGCTAGTTAAATAAAGATAGTTCTCAAATGACTTTTTAAAAAAAAAAATAGGCCGCACTAGAATAATATCAACGCTGATCAAACACTTTTTAATGAACTGACCACAGAGCAGGAGCAGCGCCGAGAGATTCCGTAATTTAGTCACTATCAAGTTTTTTAAAAGCCGGGACGAAAACCACACAACACGGAACAGAGCTGTGCTCAGAAAACCGAAGGGAAGATCGAATAGGAACCAGTCACTGATGCAGCGGACCACGGTACACAGCACTGGCCCCAGGCGTCAAGCCCGGACCAGTCCACAGAACCACACGGCTCACGCAAAGCACACCCCGCGCTCCACTGGATGGGATCGCGAACTCGGAGATGCCCCAGGTCCCTCCGGCAGTAAATCAACGATCTAACTAGGCAAAAAGAAACCCAAACAGAGGTTTCTTTAGGTAAGAATATCCATTATCTGCTGTCATTCCTGAGTTAGTTCTAAGACACATCAAACTAGGGGGAAAAATAAGGAAACGCGTTAGAAGCTTTGTATACAATCCGCTTTTAGTCACAGGAATATGAAAATGACCCCACGCTCAGGCAAGTGATGGGTGGCAGGGTGCCTCACTGCTCTGAAACGAAGGGTCAGGCTTGGTGGACACGGCTCAACATCCCATCCTTTCTGTTGGGAGGTGGTGAGAGCCAGGGTGGGATGCAAGGGGCTGGCTGCTGCTCCCTGGTGGCCCTGTCTGTGCTGAGCACTGTTGGAGTTGGTTTCAAAGGCAGGGGAGCCCTCCAGACTCCTCCCAAATGGTCCTGTCTGCTGATTCTCCCACATGCCTGCATATCCCGTCAGCACCTGGCACATCGCGTGTGCTCACCAGGTGTTAGTCACAGGAATGAACAAATGCATGGATGGGTGGGTAGGTGAGTAGATGGATAGCAGGATGGATGAATAGATGAATAGATGGATGGATGGATGGACGGATGGACGGATGGACGGATGGATAAATAAATGAATTGATGGATAGATGAATGGGTGGATGAATGGATGAATAAATGAACGATGGATGGATGCATAAATGGCTGGCTGGCTGGCTAGCTGGGTGAATGGATGGATAGATGGATGGATAGATGGGTGAATGGATGGATAGGTGGATGGATATATGGGTGAATGGATGGATGATGGATGGATGGAGAGATGGATGGAGAGATGGGTGAATGGATGGATAGGTGGATGGATATATGGGTGAATGGATGGATGATGAATGGATGGATGGATGAATGGATGGATAGATGGGTGAATGGATGGATGATGGATGATGGATGAATGGATAAATGGATGGATGGATAGATGGATGGATGGAGAGATGGATGGAGAGATGGGTGAATGGATGGATAGGTGGATGGATATATGGGTGAATGGATGGATGATGAATGGATGGATGGATGAATGGATGGATAGATGGGTGAATGGATGGATGATGGATGAATGGATGATGGATGAATGGATAAATGGATGAATGGATGGATGGATGGATGGATGGAAAAATGGGTGAATGGATGGATGATGGATGAATGGATAAATGGATGAATGGATAGATGGATGGATGGATGGATGGATGGATGAACAGACGAGGGATGAGTAAATGAGAGATGGATGAGCTGGCCCAGAAGACTAGGCCCTGATGCAAATCTGAGGGCTCAGAGAGGCTAGAACATTTGGTAGCCCTTGGCTCTCCCTGGAGTCCTTGCATTTCGAGTAGATTTTCCACTGTGAAGTTCTGTTCTTTTGAAGTTCTTGTTAACAAAATTTCTCATTAAGCACTTGGCATTTATGGCTGGGCACTAACACCTACATCTCCTCTCCATCCCCAGAGGTCGTCCCCTCACTCCCCAACCCACCTCTGGAGCTAGTTCCTTGAAGGCAGAAACCTTGTCTTTTGTCCATCAGAATCCCCCAAACATCTGAAGGCGCCCCTTGCTACTGTGCATGTTCTGAAAGGTTCTGATCCAGGAACCTCCGCGTGAAAACCATACTAACATCGCTCAGAACCAGCGCGGTGTCCGGGGCCTCCTGCCTGCCAAACAAAATGAACACAAACAAGCAAGCACCCCCTGAGCCTGCTCTGGTGGGGAGAGAGGACCCTGCCCTTGGCCATCGAGGTCTTCTTCATTCTCTGCCCTCGATGTGACTGCACAGCAGCATCAGGACACAATCAACAGAGGTCACACGTCACGTTCGTACGTTCCTGAGCACAGGAGACCGGCTGCGTGCAGGAGCCGGAGAAGGTGCAGGTAGAGAACCGGGAACAGTACACGCAGATGCTCTGGCACCCGGCCAGAAAAGTGAGGGACTCGCAGAGAAGATCCATCACTCTGTGAGCCAAGCTCCAACGTCTTCTCCCAGCCAGGAGACTCGGGCAATTTCTACAGAACAAGGCTAATGGCGGGGGCATTACATGCTCTCGGGGAGGCTGTCCCACTTGGTCAAAATAATTCAGGAAAGGGCTAAGTCCATACTTAACAGAGTTCTTTTCAATTATGTTTCACCTATGAAAGGATTTATTTATAATCTAAAAATCTGATGCATTTAGAAGATAAAACCAAATAAATAATGTAGAGAGAACCACAGGCAAGTTACGTCATCCCGAAAAGATCTAAGAAGCCTGAAGGTCCAGAGCCCCGTGTCTAAGATATGAAATTATTCGAAGCAGGTGGCTGCAAACTATTTCTGATGCTTCCTGCAAAGAATGACCTCGTTCTCCTCTTGGTGATTGATTCCTGTCTCCGGGACGTCAAAGTATCATCTTCATC